TTGGTAACCCTCACCCAAGGATATTTTTTGCATTGGTTTTTAGAGAGAGTGGAAGGGAGGGAGGGAGGGAGGGAGGGAGAGAGAGGTAGAGAGAAAGAAACATCTATGTGAGAGAGAGACATCAATTGGTTGCCTCCTGCACGTGCCCTAACCTGGGGTGCGGATGGAACCTGCCACCCAGGTACATGCCTTTGACCTGGAATCGAACCCACAGCCCTTCGGTGCTCGGGCCGCTCTTTAACCATTGAGCCACAACAGCCAGGACTGAGTCTTTTGAAGAATGTTAGAGGGGTGGACATGAAACTGACAAAAAAAGTCAGAAAGTGACCTTTTCTATAGAAACAGTCAGCAAATCAGAGCAACACGTAGAGTCTTGCAGAGCCAAACAAGGCACTGAGGTAGGGGTGCTGCCAGGAGGGAGGACAACCTTTGCAAAGGAAGGTGACATTTATATTTCTGATACAAAGAGCCTAGATGATCTTAATTCCTATTATGGCATTTCTTTCCAAGGTCAAGATATTTTTAAGTCTTCCTAAATCTTTTGACCTTAAATATATTTTGTCCCTAGCCTCTTTTAAGGTGTATGAAATAGCCTAATGGTTGGGATCCAAAAGCAGCCTGTCAGGAAGCTGTGTTGGAGCTGAGCACATTGTGCTGAGGTTACATATTTATATGTCATCTCCCTGCCTTGGTCCATGAGTGGCTTGAGGGAGGGACCAACTGGGACTTACTTGTCTGTGTGCCCTAGAGCCTGGCATGGTTCCTGGCAGAGCATGAGTGCTTCATTGATGTTGAGTGAATGTGCCCAGGAAGATTAAGGAAAGGAAAGCATTGAACTGTGAAGCTGTATCTTACTGATTCAGGCATCTGTTATTTTTATGTTCTCTTACTTATCTGCATCATATGTATAATAACCAAAATGATTTCATGCAGAAGGAACTTTGAAAATCAAGGTTTTTGAAATACAAGTTACAGTAGTTTTAAGTGGGATTGGCTAGTAAATATCTGAAATTATAATACTTAAACCATAATAATATGGAATAAAAGCCTGATTAGCCTATTCAGGGGCTTGCTTCCTCTGTCTTCCAACACAGAAGTTATATTTGGAATTTGTTGTGTATGGCAAGTCATTTCCGACTCAGGTATGCTTTTAGATGATTTTAGTGGTCAAGGAGTTGTTTTATTTATTAGTTGTAATATCTTTCATTTCTACTTTAATATTTTTAATTTGTGCTCTGGTTATTATCTTCTCCTTTATTTTGTTGTTTCCTTGAATTTGAACATCCTGAGTGTGATGATGCCAATTATTACTCTTCAGGAAAAAACACACATTTAATTTAAGTTTGGTAAGAATCCTTTTAACTGAGTCATTCACTCCTGGGCTGATTTCTCCCAAAGGTACCAGCAGTCTCCATCATCCAGAATGGAGTTCACACACCTCGGCCCAATGGGCCTAT